TACATACGTACATACTCGTAATTTTTAGTTAAGACGTAGAAAACTCAGTGCTTTGCACTCACTTAGAAATCGAACTAAGGAACGAATATTTAATACTCGTGTATGAATTACTAAGTGCAAGTAAATACACTGTTATAAATAGCAAAGAGTTACGTTTACATATCAATATTTATTATTGCCATCTTGTTTATATTTTCTAGTCAAACATTTATTGAAGAAACAGGGAATTAGTCTAGTTATTTGTCACTTTTATCAGGCAGAGGTGCACATTACGGCACTTAATGCCACTGTACAATGTCACATCCAGTTATTCATATCTGTCTGTATTGTGTATGTCCCCCAACTATTTTTACATCACTGTATATCATCAATACATAGTATAAAACAAAGTCGCTTTCGCTGTATGTCCGTATGTATGCTTAGATCTTTAAAACTACGCAACGGATTTTGATGCGGTTTTTTTAATAGATAGAGTGATTATTAAGGAAGGTTTGTATGTATATACATATTGCACCCGTGCGAAGCCGGGGCGGGTCGCTAGTATACAATAAAATAGTTGATAATGCTTATGTTTACTAACCCAATTGTTTTGTCCTTTCAGCTACTAACAACTAAAAACTACCGCAAAGTTAAGTTCGACGGTGCATTAATTTTGGCGTCACCATTCGACACTGGCAGTATAGTCGACAACACCGTTTTAGAGACTCGGTTGCCAAAGAAGAAAAAAAACCTACAACTTAATTATGTCAGTATGTCACAAAACCAACTTAATATGAATGGAAAATTACTTCGTTTATCAAAGAAATAAAAATAATTATCTTACAATTGCAAAAACTACAGATAGTACCTCATACTGTGGATTGTTTTACTTGGAGTTGGTGATAAGCAAAAGATAACTGTATTACGTGATAATAAGAGCTTGTTTTCAAACATCACGCGGTGGGTGGTGCTTAGTGCTTATACAGAGTGTCCTTGGAAAGTATGGGTTATACTGAACAGGGGCACATTTCCAAAAAAATTAGTTCTAAAAATTCAGTAAGTAAGTACCTACTTATATTATTCAACTTTTGAATTGTTAAGTAATAAGTTAAATATACTGAAAAAATATCTACTATTTTCGAGTCACAGATTTTTTCTTATGAGCAGCGTGCGCAGTCTGTACCTACAGTAGGCTGCGCAACATCGCCGCGACGAGAAAAATTTGATTATTTTGTTCGACTGTTAGGAAATAGCTTGTTACCGCCCCTAAGAGGTAGGTACATCTGAATGAACACCAAATTAGACCAGCTTGGTGGAAAATTGGCTTCCCTCGAGGCTATCTGACCCCCTAATCCCTATTATGGGACTTCAGTTTTAATAGACACCGGAAAGCAGCGTTCTCTGATAAAATCAAAATGCGATCTCAAACCCGCCTTGCTTGGAAATTATGGCAAGCCCTCTTTTATTGAGGACGCGCATAAACCAGCAGTCCACTCTCAAGGGTGTCTCACAGTTAATGATTATTGTTTGTGATGATCCACGAGCTGTGTATAACGGCGGATGGGATCCTAAGAGCTAAAAAGTATGATCAAATATTGCATGAAATTTTGGGTTTGACACTCAGATTGCTCAGATTAAACGAGAAGACGGATCACCTGATGGTAAGCAATCGGCGTCGGCCATGGACACCTGGATCACCAGAAGCGTTACAAGTGCGTTACCGGCCTTTTTTTATGTTATTTGTTTGTTTTTATGTTATTTATGTATATTAAGAACTTGAGGATCGTTGCGGATTTAGGAATTGGGGAGATTGGGGAAGAGGAGGGTAATTGGACCTCCGATAACCTCACTTACAAGACGAAACACAACGCAACCATTGCTTCACGTCGGTTTTCTGTGAGGCCGTGGTATCACTCCGGTCGAGCCGTCCAATTCGTGCCGAAGCATGGCTCTCCCACACTTAAAATTAAACAGGTACTTATTCGGTTTTTGGTAAACTGTTAATAAAGTGAACTGTTGCTAAAGTGTGTTCAAAACTATTTTGGCCATTGTATGGTATTAGGTTTTCTCGCTACATAAGTCTGAACAACATAAAGCTGGTTATGTTATAAAAAACGTACAATGTCCTAAGAATTAGCTATTCTTAGATAGCGTACTAAAAATAAAACCGATTATAGGTTATAATCGGTTATAAATAACAATAATTATAGTTTGTTTATAAAAATATTATTTCTTCTTTGTACATGAGTAATAAATTCAGATAAATATGTGCAATTGTGCAATTATTTGTTGGGATTATTACCTACTTTGTGTCAACTGAAGCCTGAATACTGTATGGCTACGTCAATATTAAGTCGTAATTAAATATCGTGCCATCTATGTCATTTTAAAAAGAGGCGCGACTTAAAATTGAGGGACGTTTGAATATTTGGATATTAACTATAAACTTTATTGTAATTATTTTTATCAAATTGTTAATTTTAATAAAAAAAATTATCTGACATAAAGCTGACAAATTTGTTTGTTACTTTGAACGCGGGTATCTCCGAAACTGCTGGATCGAATTGAAAAAATCTTTTTGTGCTTGATAGACCATTTATCGACGAAGGTTGCATGCTATAGAACATCACGCTACGACCAATAAAAGTCAAGCAGCATTTGAAAGCACCGGAGTATAACATACCTAACATTTTTTTTAGTCAACTGGCAAAAACAAGGCATTAAATGCATGCCTTTGATCACTCCCACAGATTATAAAATGTAGTTTTATTGTACAAAAAAAAAACAAGTGAAACAGGTAATATAACTGACATTTACGATCACTTAATCGATATTGCAAAACCAGTTGCAATTGTATAAAAAGCAGCGAGTATAACATAACAGAAATTACAATTCTATTTTATCTCTTTAAAGTTTAGCTGATTGTCGAGTGGTGATGTCATTTGTCACCATTTGCCACCCCTTTACTCTTCCTGCAAATGTCGCAAAAGCCGACTAATATACAGGGTGGTCCAAAAGTCGGGGATTAAACGCAACTAGGGGTCAGATGGGATCATCAGCTGCAAAAAGTTGTTCTATGGGAGGTCCTTAAGGTCAACTTCTCGTCAATCGTCAAGGTTTACTGGCTTATTCCATAAAAAATGTAAACCATTGTAAGCCAGAAAAGGCGATAAAATACATACTCCAAATCTACCAGAAGGATATTAAAAACCTTTTCTAAGTAACCTATTTCGACAAAGAAACCATCATCCATTCAAAAATTCATATTACATTACATACAAAATATAATAAACATTATATAACATTTAGCAATCGGTTCTAATGACTAAATATTACCAGTTCGACTGTTTGACCCGCTGTCCGTCCGATAAACGGGCTCCGATAAAGTACCAGTTATTGTAACTTTACTTGTATTCACTTATAATTACTGGTTCATACTAACTCCTAATTGGTGGTTTATCATGACATAAGGAACTGGTGCACTTAAACGATGTGGTACGCCGAAATTTGGTAATAGGAATGATAATAACGACTCACAACACAGTAGCAAACACACCAACACACCACACACCCAGTCCACTGTTGGACTCATCTACATGTCTATGTGTAGAGGAGTCGAGTAGGAGTATTGGCACTTCCCAACCGGAATGGAACCGATGGTTAAAAAAGTTCCAAGTTTATCAGTGAGCAGTCTAAAAGGAGAGTCGTGCTTCGGCACGAACGGACCTACTCGACCGGAGTGATACCACGGCCAAGCAGAAAACCATAGTGAAACAAGGCTTGCGTTGTGTCTCGTCATGGGAGTGAAGTTACTGAAGGCCTAATTACCCCCGATCCCTGAACCTCCAATAATCCTCAATTTCGTAATCCCCAAAAGGCCGGTAACGCACTTGTAACGCCTCTGGTGTTTCGAGCGTCCGAAGGCGACGCCGATTGCTTATCATCAGGTAATCCGTCTACTCGTTTACCGGCTTATTCCATAAAAAAACTACTGCCTAAACTGCCCGGTCTCTGCCAAATCTGTAGTCCTATAGTCTTTCCTTACAATACCCACGGAATAATACCCTTCGCCGTCACCATAATTATGAGTTACTTACAGATCACCATGAAGCCCCGAACATCACCACACAAAGAATTGTTCTATACGGGAATCCACAACACATTGAATACCAGCCGATTGCATCAACCGTACAGTTTGTATCAGATGATATAAAACTTACCTTTCATATTCATATCTGGTAACCTTTGACACGATGAGGCATTTCTCCATGTTCAGCTTTGTCTCCTCCGGCACTGCTGTGTTGCCTTTCCTTCTTGAAGCATTGGGCACCACCTCGCGAAGCTCCTGCTTATGTCTTAGACCTGGAACCAAGGAAGCCTTATGTTAACTAACCATATTAACAAACTACTTAAACAGCTTTAGATAGTTGTAAAAAACAGTATTTTTTGTCTAATCCAAAAGCGAACGTGTGTTACAATGTAAATACTTAATACCTAAGTGTGGGAGAGCCATGCTTCGGCACGAATGGGCCGGCCGGCACGAACCGGAGTGATACCACGGCCTAACAGAAAACCGACGTGAAGCAACGCTTGCGTTGTGTTTCGTCGTGTGAGTGAGGTTACCGGAGGCCCAATTACCCTCCCCTTCCCCTATCTCCCCAATTCCGGAATCCTCAACGACCCTCAAACTCCTAATCCCCAAAAGGCCGGTAACGCACTTGTAATGCCTCTGGTGTTCCAGGTGTCCATGGGCGATGCCGTTTGCTTACCATCAGGTGATCCATAATTGCTCGTTTACCGGCTTATGGCATAAAAAAAACCTTTTTTTTTTTTTTTTATGCCATCCGGCTCTGGTTCAGACCATGGTACGGAGCGAGGGGGACTGGGATGCCGTCTCCTCCTTCTGCGAAGCAGTCATGCTAGCTAAGGAGGAGGCGGAGCGCGTGAGGGAATGTACCTCCTCACGACCCGGCCGTCGCGAGAGACACTCCGGGCGTCGGGGATCGCGAGACGATCTCCGGCCACCGTAAGCACGGGCCTGCGGACGGCGAGCACGGGTGACTCGCCGGCATAAAAAAAACCTAAATACCTACTTAATACCTAATTTTATAATAAAATGTATAATAGGTAGCAGTCCGAGACTGGACTATTATAATTATTAAATTTCGGGGAGAAAATATCAAGCGTTCGTCAGGATTGTAGCTTGAAATTGACATTACAATATTACATTGAGCAACCAACCCAATTGCTTATGTAGTCTGATTTACAAAAACTTAATACCAACTCTCTAATGTCATATGGCAATAAAGACTTTGTTTAAGAACAACTATTGCAAAATTAACAGGTTACCAGCAAAAGATAAGTCCAGTTCCCAGAGATATCACTCCAGTAAACAAACGATATAGAAAGGGTGTGAATGGAATATTTTGATCGATAACTTATTCAGGGCTGTCTAACGTATTTATAATCATTATTTATAAGACTGTTTCGACTGGACTTTATTCTGGAATCAATCAATAAGACAAAGTATTAGAGTTAGAAGGGTTAGAATAGTAGACTTTTTTTTTCAGCCATAATCGTCCCACTGCAAGGCAAAGGCCTCCCTACCCTCCTTCCACTCCTCTCTATGTAAAGCATTTTGCGGCCATAGATGATTCGAGTGCACGGTTGGTGCGGTGGCTGGGCAACCGGCTGCCGTGCAACGTGTCGCGAGTTCGAATTCCCGCACGGAACAACACTTTGTGTGATCCACAAATTGTTGTTTCGGGTCTGGGTGTCATTGTGTATGTGAACTTGTATGTTTGTAAACGCACCCACGACACAGGAGAAAATCCTAATGTGGGGCAACGTTTAAAAAAAAAAGATGTTCAATTCAGTTATAGTACATGCGTCTTCTTTAATTTATGAGTTCCTTTCAACATCTTTTTTTCTGTATCTAGAGGGAACGAAAGAGAAAATAAATGGACGGATAACGGTTTCTCAGAGCCGTTTACTATGATATTATTATCATAATCAACAACTTGTAACACCACTCCTGGGTTGTGGACCTCCTCCACTGTATACCTGATAGTTCACCTGCCTGATTTTGGAAAATGTCTCTTGTTTTAGTTATAACAGAGACACAGTCAGCTACTTTATTGAGCACTTCTAAGACCTTAGTACGAATATATTTTAGGGTGCGTCTACATCTGGCGAACACGCACACAAGTGCAGCTTGCGGAGCATTCGCCAGTTGTGGACGCACCCTTATGTTTAAAGTAATCGAAACTAGACTACGTTCGGCGCTCTGATTGGATGGTTTATTGGAGCCTGCCAATCATAGCGCCGGATTTGGTCTCGTTTCGATTATTTTAAAAGTAAAACAAACTTCCAAGCCCTCTGTCAACCCTGACAACGAGAACGATTTATTAGCTTTTTATTAATAAGGGCACTTTCCAACGAGAACTCACAATAATGAATACTGCCAACTAGTTTGGAGCAGACGAAATTATTTCTTTCCGATATGTAAAGGTTATCTATTACATTAATTATCCAGTTCTCTCAGACTGCCTCGTTGGCCGAGCGGTCGCAATTGCGGCTGCTGAGCAAAGGGGTCTCGGGTTCGATTCCCGGGTCGGGCAAAGTATTACTGGGTTTTTAAAAAAAATCTCAGTAGTAGCACGGAGTCTGGAACTGTGCCCGGTATATGGCAATAGGCTCACCCCCTATTACATGGGACTCATAACATAAATAGTGAAAAGTGGGTGTTACATTGTACAGTCGTATAATGTGCACCTCTGCCTACCCCTTCGAGGATAAAAGGCGTGATGTTATGTTAATTATCCAGTTTGGTTCAAACTGCTGAGTTTCATGTCCGAATCGCACGTTAATTAACAGTGATAGTCATCAAGAAAAATATTAATATGATCTTTTAGGGAGCCACGAAAACAATGACCTACCTACATTAACACACACAAACTACGAAAACAGCTGTAGCGCTCTCTATTAATCCTGATCTGACTACCTGGAGGCTTACTCTTGCATCCGATTCCGATCGATTGACATTGGTATTGTGAAATTTCGTACTCTTGAGTTGCAACACTAGCGCCCAGTACATCCGTATTGCGTGAATATTTTACGAACTAAATGGTATGGAGTTTGGCTTTATATTGTATTCTCTGAATGCTATTTTAACAGCTACGATAGGAGTTGTATAGTTTTGACATTGAATAATTACCGAGATTTTATTGGACATATACAATAAACATTGAGATTGTTTTTTTTTATGGAATAGGGGGCAACCGAGCAGACGAATCACCTAATGACACCCGCAACATCAGAGGAGTCACAGGTGCGTTGCCGGCCTTCAAGAGTAAGCACCCGGAACCTTTCAAATTGGAACATCCAACCCGTCTCCCACGCGTGGATATTACGGTAAAGCCTTTTATGTGGAGGAGGCCTGTAGTCCAACTGTGGACTCCCATGGGTTATTGACAAATAAATGAGATAGTTATATTAAACTGTCAAACACCAAGCGGTCACCGGTGACCGCAACCTATTGTTCTATAATTGTGTCTACAAAACCGGTACTCGACGAGTTAATCGACCAGACTAGAGACTGTGGTTGTGGTACTGAAGTTACTTCAGCTATACTTCTATTAACGTCTAAAGTATAACAAGTGTAATGCCTTATTATATTTATTCGGTAGTGGTCGAGAACATTACCATAGGGCAATGTTTCACAATCACTGACAAAATATTTGTTAGTAACCTCTAATGCGACCACGGAAAGTTTATTTGTCACAAAAATATTACTCGGTACTCATTTATAATGATAATTTTCCACTGCAACGTAAAAACAACAAACAAATAGAATAATTGTCACAAGGACACTATTTGTTTTATGGTACTTTTCTAGAAATATCGGTATCTATCATAGTGGTTAGTAAGACTAGACTTAAGTAATAAAAACAGGAGATATAATATGTTTTATGGTATAAGCCGGTAAACGAGCAGACGGATCACCCATGGACACCTGGGAATACCAGAGGCGTCCCAAGTGCGTTACTGGACTTTTGGGGATTAGGAATTGGGGAGAATGGGCAAGTGTGGGGTAATTGGGCCTTCGGTAACCTCATTTAGAAGACGCAATACAACGCAAGCGTTGTTTCACGTCGGTTTGCTGTAAGGCAGTGGTATCACTCCGGTCGAGCCGGCCCATTCGTGCCGAAGCATGGCTCTCACACACTTGAAACGCATACAGAAATCAAAATGTATGGGTATGACACTGACAAGTGCCAAAAACATCAATTCCATATAATTTACTTTTCTACTATACAAGTAGACAAGCGCTAAAGGGCATTTGGCTACAGCTGCTGCATTTAATTACAAAATAACTTGGTTCCTTGATGGACTGTACAATGGGACAATTGCCATAGGACCAGAGATCTAACAGATAATTAAAACCTCCCGCAATTTCTCTTAAATGAAGAATATTTCTTCCAAAGATCGATAATGTCACCCAAAGGTTGATCAAAAGAAAAGCCAACGACTTATGACGCCGAAAACTCACGTGGACACAAGTTTTTAAACTAATGACTTTTCAACA